ATACACACATATACACATACACACATATACATATATATATATATATATATATATATATATGTTCAGTAGAAATAATTAGGTCTTCATACATTGAACTATTTTAACTATACTAATAACAACATGAATAATAATAATATATACACTATTGTAGATGAACATATTCTGTGATATATTCATAAATTAAACGGATTCATTCATTTTTCTGGACTGAATAATGTTGTGCATTTAATTATTAAAAATGTAACGTGAGACGTTAATTTCCTTTGACCCATCAAAATGAACGTGGTCATTTATTTTCAGAATCAAAATTTAACATCAAACATTTACATTAATTTGGCAAAATATGAAAATAACAACAGGTTAATTAATCAGTTTACAATTAGAAAACCATACGGCGATGGTTTCCCTTGCTTCCAGCTGTACAACAGACATTTCTAAAATTATCTGGAATGATTGCTAGCAGATAGAAGAGTTTAAAGATGGAAAGATGAAGTTTAGAGGGAGGGAGATGGTGTGTGAGTGAAAGTGTTGAACAGAACGGCACCCTCCATTCGAACCCAGCTTTCCTCGGTACGCTCGGTAGTAAACTCGACTCATTACCTCTCTGACGATGAATCAGCGGATACGGAGCTCCAGTTAACGCTACCGGTCCAGCGTCTCCGTAGGATGGCAGAGAACCGTCCGGAGTGGTGGCGGGACTTCATCAACAACAGTTCACCTCACGAGTGGACTTCACATGAGTGGAGTCCTTCAGAAGTTCCACTCAGATGTGGAAGATTGCATAATTCCCACAAGACTCGGAAGAGCTCTGGATCATGTCTGGACTTCTGTTCTCCCAGCACTTCTTCCGTTCGGTTCTGCTCCCAGAACTGAACTCGACTGCACTCGACTGGAGCTGCAAACGACTGAAGCTGCTCTGAACTAGGAAGTACCGACATTTAAAGAGTTCTATTTCCGGTTCATTTGGGAAGTTCCTGATTGGTCAAAATCGACCAGACAGGGGTGTGTTTTTGTGACGTAAGAGGTCACTAGAAGTCAGAAAAACAGAAAGTGTTTTGGAACAGATTGAAAATGTTTTAGAGACAGACGGGAGAAATATTTGGACGAGTTGGGTGAAAACAGGTGCCAGCTTCTCTATATTACGTCTGAGAGGATTTAAAAACATGACAGTTCGTTCCAACAACTTGTTTTCGACCTTTGACCAACTTCACAATGTTCTCATTTCAGACAGAAGATCAGAAAATGCATGAATTACTCCGTAACACATTCCAATTTGATTTCTACTTTGAATGAGGATTAAAAAATCACTAATACTGTTTCACAGTTGATTTAAATGAGTAGTTCACTTCAACATTTAAAAATGGTTTGAACTAAACACAATTTGATTATCAAAACATTTGTAAAATAGTAATGATAATAGAAAAAGAGAGTGTTCTTTCAATTGATCAGTGCAGGACACTTAGAAAGTCTCTGGATGAACTTAATCTTGTGTTTCTGGACTCAAATCAATGAAATACAGTTCTTGTCCCAGGAAGGCCCTCAAGGCCAAGACTTTGACCTGAGGCTTAGTTCACTACACTATTAATGTATATTCAGCTATTTGGTTCTTTCAGGGAATTTTAGTCAGTGTCTTCAGCCTTTTCCCTGTGCATCACTGGATCGGTAGTTTGACACAAATAAATGCATAACTTTGTTTTTGTTCGTCTTCTTCTGGTTAATGTTGAGTAGACATTGTTGTTGTGGCATTACATTAGCACCCAGCTGTACTTCTGTAAAACAGAGTTCAGGAAGTTGTGCATCATGGGAACTGTAGTTCAAATATATAAAGAGGCCTACATTACAAAAAAAACAAAAACATGAAAAGGCATTTAATATAATTTTAAATAAATTTTAAAGAGGCATAGTAAAACCTATGTGTTAATACTAATTTTTTTTTGTTTTCATTCACAAAACGTTTCTTGTAAGTAGATTTGTCATTCGAGTATAGAGTTGCCGCTCCTCAGCATAGAAAGGAACGAGGTGGTTCAGACATATGATTATTAGGATGTCTACTGGGCACCTACCTTTAGAGCAGGGCTCCCAAAGCACTGAGCAAAAAACCTATACCAGGCCACAAGAAATTTAAACCTATTATATCGGCCTGCAGGTATTTTATTTTGAAAAACATAAAACTCGTGCTTGACTCAGTCACAAACAAAATTTCCACATATTATAAAACTTATAAGCTAAACTCTGCAGAAATTAATCAAAAAATCAATATAAAACTTTGCTAGAGAACTTATTCCCTCCACAACCTGACCAAAGACAAGTGAAAGAAAACAGGTCACTACTTTTTAATTACAAAAATCAAATCTGAGCATTACGCTAGTATCAAATTTATTCTCAAATACACACAAAAAAGGTGGCAACATGAAAACAAACAAAGTGACACGGTCAATGTGTTTCTGAAATGTTGACTCTTCATTTAGCACCTTTATAGTTGGGTTACACATTAATTGTAGTCACTCATACAAAAAAAAAATGAAATGGGTGACTAATGTGAGTCTGTAACAAAAAAAAGCACAAGCTGGAATATTTGGATCTCAGTAAAGATATACACTGCATGTAATCAATAAGTACCACTATCAGCATCTTTTCAACTCAAGTACCATCAAACCTCTGCGGTCACATTCAAAAATCACGGTACCCTTCACAACAAGAGTCCTCAGATGACCAACCTAGGCGGTGATATCTGAGCACAAGTGCCTCTGACAGTTTGGACCTATTATCTTTTCACATTCGAGTTTGCAGAGTGGTATATTTATGTACAGAGAAGTTCATTGTCAAACAATGTGGAACAGCATGTTTGTGTACCTGGGAGTGTAAAAATAAATGGATTAAGGCACTCTATGCACGCACGTATCTGAGCAAACTGTTCATGCAGGATTGTGTCCCTTCAGAGTTCAGGGTGTATCTGGCGCCCCCTGGTGACAATCGGTGCGGTTCCTGGGCAAATCTGATATAAAAACACAATCTGAGGGATTTTAAGAAGCAGATACTTTTAATGTAATCCTAATTTGCTTTTTGAATAAAAGTTTAAAAAAATTGCAGAAACGAAACAATTAGTGTTTTGAAGCAACAAAACCAGATGTTCCCAACACTGATCCTTGAGGAACACCATCCTGCGAGTTTTAGTCATTTCTCTGCTCCAACACACCTGACTTGAATGAATGGGTGATTTACAGGTTTCTGCAGAAGTTGAGGAAGTAATTAAATCACTGAGTCAGGCGTGTTGGAGCAGACAAACAACTAAAACATGCCGGATGGTGTTCCTCAAGGACCAGAGTTGGGAACCCCTGAACTAGATAGACTACCTTTAAACACTTTTTGTCAGATTTCATTTGATTTAAGTTGTCTATTTAATTTTTTTTATTTAGTTTTGATATTTTAAACCCTGTTTTTACCTAATTTGTATTGCGTGCCCTGAATCCGATAAACACCAGAGAGCTTGTCCTTGTCAGAACGAACAGGAAGTGAAACTACATGACGTCCACGAAGAACTCGCTGGGGTTGCCCATGGCCAGGTGGAACGACTGGCGGGATGCAGTCAGCTCTGGGGGGACTGAGCCTAGGTCACGAGTGGGTGGGGCACCGGGAGGCCCCCCCGGAGTGGAGGAAGGAGGTGGCGGCAGGGTCTGGTGCATTGGTACTGCCGGTAGCTGCTGGAGGGCGTGGGTGGTCGCCATGGCTGGATGCGGGTGCTGGGGCACCATCATCACCATCATGGGGTTGTATGGCAGGATGCCCGGTGGGTAAGGGGACATGTGGGGGGGCTGTGGCATGCGGTGGTGGTGTGAGCGCTGAGAGGAGGCGTGGCTGTGCTCGCTGGGGGCGGACGAACCGTGGCCCCGCCTCAGGCTGCTGCGGGTGGAGTACTCCGATTCACTTCCGCTGCCGGAGCGGGAGTCCGCCCCGCCGCCGTCTCCCCCACCTGAGGGGGACTTCTCTCCTCCACCCACGGTGCTGCCGGGGCCTTTGTTGCTGCGACGTCGCTCGCCTTCGCTTCTCGTCGATCCGCTGCTTCGACTCCCTGAAGAGCAGGACACAGAAAACAACCGTTGCCCCCGAGTTCGTTAGTTTTCACTTTCACAGCAGAACCAATACTTTCATCGGCTCTGACCGAGACCAAACACGACGCTCGCAGACTAGAGACACACCAGCAGACGATGTTCACAGAGACAGAGATTCAAACTCTACCTCAGAGACAGACGTTCTCCCAAAATGCACCGTGTTTTCGGTTCAAGGTTCTTTATTGTCATTTGCATCACATGTGGTACATGAGGTGGAACAAAACTGTGTACACAAGGTCCCAGTTACACCCAAAAATAGCAAAAATATAAAGTATAAAAAGAAGCAATATACAAGGATCAAAGACATACACTAAACAATAACGTAAATTAATTTGATGTATAAAACAGCAGCCTGAACATGAGTCTGTTGTGAGCAGATGGGTATGGATACAGCAGCTTAAAGGTAAGAAATCAGCAGCATGAATAATCAGCAGCACAGATAAAGTGACATATCACCAATTAATGTGGCATTACAGTGATTATCCTGATTAGAGATTCATGAGTCTAACAGCTTCAGGGTATAAGCTGTTCCTCAGTCTGGTGGTTCTACACTTAATGCTCCTCATCCTCCTTCCTGAGGAGAGCGGGGCAAAAAGTGTGTGTGCTGGGTGAGTGAGGTCCTTCATGATGCAGGTGGAGCTCTTCCTGCATCTGGAGCTGTCTTTACTTACTCTGCTCAACCTGTTTTGTATTTGTAATTATTTTGTCTATCCTTAACATGTTTTTTTTTGTCTTTCAGATACAACTGGACCTATACCTGGACCTACCATTCTGTGTTCGTCTGTCTCTCCTTCCTGTCCTCTCAACCAGCCGGTCAAAGCAGATGGCCGCTTGTCCTGAGCCTGGTTCTGCTGGAGGTTTCTTCCTTTTAAAAAGGGAGTATTTCCTTTCCACTGTTGCCACTGTGCTTGCTCAGGATGGGAGACTGCAACGAAGCCAAGATTCAACTTGTCTGCTGGATTCCTTAGATAGAGAACTTGACTAATTGGCTTTTATGTGAATGTTCCTGATTCACAAAAACCCATCAGTTCCTGTAAAGTGCCCTGAGACAACTTTGTTGTGATTTGGCGCTGTATAAATAAACTGAATTGAATTGAATAGATGTCTGTGATGGTGGGGAGGCTGATTCCAACAGACTTCTGTGCAGCCTTCACCACTCTCTGCAAAGCTTTTCTTTCTGCAGCTGTGCAGCCTCCATGCCACACGTTGATGCTGGAGCACAGGATGCTCTCCACTGCACAGCTGTAGGAAGGAGGTGAGGACTGAGCTTCCCAGACCAGCTCGTCTCAGCCATGTTTTACACGTTTCCATCGTTTCACAGGTTGGCTGCAGAAAGAGCCCCTCTTTGAAGCCAGACGGTCAAAAAAGACCAATTTTCAAGGCTTTTATAAAATGGTGTAAAAGAATGCAGAGGCTGTAGTGTACTTGTCAATATAGGAAGGTAATCACATGACTTATGATCATTTTATCTTACATTGTCTGTCTAAAACAGGTCTCTCTCTTGTAAATATAATCTCAATAGACCGAGGAACAGCTTCTACCCTGAAGCTGTTAAGACTCGTACATCCCTAATCAGGAAAATCACTGTAGTGCCACATTAATTGGTGATATGACTTATGTGCTTCTGATTATCCATGCTGCTGATCTCATGCCTTTATGCTGCTATGTATACCCATCTGCTCACAACAGACTCATGTTCAGGCTGCTGTTTAATACACCAAATTAATTTACATTATTATTGTTTAGTGTATCTTTTAAGATACTTGTATAATGTTTCTTTTTATACTTTATATTTGTGCTATTTTTGGATGTAACTGAGACCCTGAGTACACAATTTTGTTCCACCACATGTAACACGTGATACAAATGACAATAAAGAACCTTGAACCTAAATAAGTCCTCATGACTCAGTGAGACTAACCTGTATAAATAAAGGTTGAATGATTGAAACAAAACATGATTGATGATTCACTCATTAATACCAATTATACGGTAGACTTTTTGCAGTGGTTATTCTTAATCAAAGATGGCATCAAACATCAAAAGCTGCATATTTTGACAGCTGTTATAGTTTAAAGGTGCCTCTAGTCTTTCATCATAACCCACCAATGGAGTAGACTGATGTCTCGCAGCTAGAACTAATGAAGGGGCGGGGTGTTGACTGTGCATAAAATGTGTCAAAAATTAACCCTGCAGCCGGCTGGTCCCACAGACAATCACTTCATCACACCCTCAAGCTGCGATGCCGGTTTATCCTCACGCATACCAGATGTTTCAGCACTGTGACTACCTCCCACGGCAGCTCAGTCTCTCGTGCCTCCATAAGCAAGCATCCCACGTTGGTCAGGCTCCTAACTGTTCAGCTAAAACGATTCACACCCAACTAAAGACAGGAGGTAGGAGTTGTGTTGAGCTTTCATCCCAGTGTCATTTTATTATTTTAAAACTTGCACCCACCTCACCCAGTTCACACTGCACAACATTTACATAAAACTGAATCAAAATGTTCTAAACTGCTATTTCACTTTGGTTGAAACTGATTGGGGAAAAAAATTAATCTTAAATACTGTATTTTCCGCTGTACAAGTCGGGCTTTTTGTGCATAATTTGCATGCTCTGCGACTTGTACGCCGAAGCGACATATTTATGGATTTTCCCCCATATTTATAAACCAATTTTTGGCTGAGACTGTTTTAATTCATTCTGACTGAAAATATTGAACACTACCGTTTTCAGACACTAGATGGCAGTCAAGTAGTATGGCATGCTGCGGTGTCATGTAATAGGTAAAAGTGGCTAATAATGACACAATCGGCTTGCCATAGACTGACACCGTCATCTGCCTGGAGCAACCGTCAAATCAGCTTCATTTCGCTGCGTCGCCCCGGCAAAATGCAGCTGATTTGACCATCGAAGTCATTTATTAAGTAAAAGTTCAACAGAGTCACACCTTTGCTATAAAGTCGAGCAAACAAATAATTGTTTTTAGGTGTTAATCTTGTTAAATTCTTGTTAAAGTCCTCTCGTGCACGCTCCCGCAGCCGCCATTTGGCAGCCAATCGATTTTTGGCACAACACCGGTCCACATTTCCAGGTTGTCAGCTGTGACGAGAAAAACAAACGCTGTTTGACACGTAAGAGAGATAAATGATAATATTTTAAAAACTGGATGACACCTGATGTGCCTCACTGTTTGATTGTCAGGTAAAAAATATTTTGGTTGTGTCGTTTGAATTTTTTATTTCTTCAGAACAACGTAATGCTGTCGCCAGCTTATTCTTGAAAACATCATAAACGCTAGAAAAGCTGCAAATGAAGTTTGTCAGCGAATAAATATATAATTAAAAACTCCAACAGTCAGTATGTGTGTGTTTGTGCTGACCTTCACTGTGCTGGCTGCCCGTGCTGCCCGGGGCGAAGCTGTAGCTGGTGAGCTCGTGGTACGGAGGAGGCTGGCTGGAGTAAGGATGGGTGGGGTACGGCTGATAGGGGAAGGTGTGCATCATGGGCCAGGGGGAGGTGCCGGGGAGCGGGAGGGGGGCCAAGGTGTCCTGGTCCGAGGCCCCGCTGGAGCCGTCGTTGTCATTCAGAGACAGATTGGCCATGTCTGGGTGGAAAGAACGAGAGAAGAGATGAAGAATGGAAGAAACTTTTACAACAAAGACTTTCATCTGCAGAAAAATACATGTTTCTAGATTAATAAGAAACAAAATTATATTTCCTGTGAAAATGCAGCGTGAATGCTTACTGCAGAGTGATTTTCACTGAAAGCTGCTGAAGAAGTAAATGGACTGTACTTATACAGCACCTCTCAATCTTATCAAGATACTTATAGTTCTTTACACAACAATCTGTGCCTCATTTACCCATTCATACAGCACTCTACTAGATCTCTACAAGGCTAATTGAACAAATCATTCTAAAGAGACTAATCAGTTCTTTATCACATTCATACACTGATGGGACACACATTGGAGGCAGTGAGGGGTTCAGCGTCTTGCCCAGGGACACTTTGGCATGTGACTACTGGTGGATTCGAACCCCTAACTCTTGCATTGGAGGACGACTGCTCTAACCACTCAGCCACAGCCGCCCTTTGGACAGCTGACATTTGTTGAAAGCAGGAACATAAAGATCACATAAAGCTGAAATTAGCTGAGAAGTAACCCCCCCCCCCCCAAAAAAAAGCTGAAATTGGCTGACAGGAGCATACAAATTTAAATTATTAGAAAGAAGCACAAAAGGCTGAGATAAGCAAAAACAAGGTGCAGGGGGGGGGGGGGGGGACTAAAATTAGCTGGAAAATACCTAAAAAGTAGCTGAAATGAGCAAAAAGGCTGAAAACAAAAAAAAGCTGAAATTAGCTGAAAGGAGCAGTAAAAGGTAATAGGGATGCACCGATCCACATTTTTTAACTTCCGATCCGATCCCGATACCTAAACCTGTATATCGGCCGATACCGTCCCGATATCATCACCATTGATTTTATATGAGGCTGTAATAATCTCCTCTCAAGTACAATTTGTACAAATATATGCATGCGCGTCCAAAAAGTCAACATGAGGTAAGTTTTATTAATGTTGGATACGTTTCAAAGTTAGAATTAAATCCTGCTAACACAAAACATGTTTTGTTTTTTATTCCTAGCTTTAAAGTGGATATTAAAGCGATTCACTTCAACACTTGCTCTTGACGAGATCGGACGCTTCTCCCCTCTTTCTCCGCTTTGCTGCTCTGTCCGTCTGTGAAACTGCTTGTGAGCCTCTTCATTTCTTCTGAACCATAATTAAGGACTTGTTTTGATCAGTTGGTCCCTCAACTCAACTCAATTTACAACATTTCTTCAAAGAGAAGACAGAATTTAGGCGAGCTGATTTGCCCTGTTGGCACGCACGCAGCTGGATATCTCATCGACTGGAAGACTTGATGATGTGTCTTTCTCTGCTGCCATCTGTGGATTTTAAGGACGCGTATTTAATTGGATTTACGATAATTGGTTCATGCTTTTTGGATTAGTCTGGTTGCTGGTTTTATCTACAATCAAGGAAGTCGTCAGCAGCAAATTTGGACCCGATCACGCTGCTTGCCTTTATGATGGCTTGGTTCGTGTCGAGTACCCGGACTCAAATGCTTTGGGCTGAATGGATCAGATCTCGGGGATGTTACTCAGTCACGTTCCATCAGTGTGGCCATGTAATTTGTACATTTCGGAACTGAGTGGACCAACACAGACTCAAGGTAGATGTCATTAAGTTCTGCCTGTCCCCAAAACAACTGTGTTTATCTGAATTTGGCTCCCTTGGCTGGCCTCGAAGGTCATCTTATCTGAATTCGCCTGGAGAAAATGTGATCTGACCCTCACCACCTCCTACCCTTAGGAATTTCCAACTGATAACCAGATGAACCAGCTGAATAAACTTGTGTCATCATTTCAGAACTCTTGGATTCTCATAGACGTTATTCTTGGCCATTCCTCGACATACCTCGAGAATGTTTATGGATCTCACCGGAGGACATTGACTGATTATCTTATCAGAACTCTTAGTGACCTTGAGAGCATCTATAAGCATTGTTGACCGCTCTCGTCTCCGTTTGCAGAATGTCTACGTCACTACGTGCAGTTTGTGCGAGGTGTTTTTTTTAATATTAGAGGGTTTTTTTTCTCAGGCAAGAAAAAAAAAGTCTGATATGAATTTTTTTTCGCCTCCAACTCCTACATGTGTCCAGTTAACCACTGTTTTTGTCTGTCCAAACAGATCTCACTTGTAAATGAGTCTTCGAGGCTCAATGTGATTTATCAGTTTAAATAAAGGTTGAATGAATGATTAGATGGCTTCAAACATCTGCTAAATTCATGGCATAAACCAACACAGACATGTTCCTGTTTTTAGTATTTTACATCGCTTTATAATGTAGCTGTTTTTGTTTTGTTTATTTTTTTTTAAATATAATTTTCAAATCATATGTTTTTTTTTTTATGATTGTCTACTGTTGTACTGATAAATATCTCCTGGAGAGTAAAGTATATCTTGGCTGCAAGTATCAAGCTGCGAAATCCTTCGTTTTCTACAAGTGACGGTGGTTGGTCATCAACTACGATGAAGTTTAGCAACTTCTTGGTAAACATTTGAACTCTGTGGATTCAGCGGTGTGTTATTCTCGTTCAGTCCGAAGCAAGCAGCCTGATTTCGGTCAGCCGCGCTCAGTCTGCCCCTCCTCCAGGACGGACAGACTGAGCGTGGCTATCCGGAATCAGACTGCCTTCTCTGGACTGAACGAGAGGAACACACTGCCGAAGCCCCGGCGCTCGAATGTCCAACGTAAAACTAACTTTACTGTTGTTTAATGTGGCGCTATGGCTCTGCAGACAGTGCACGTTGCTGTCTTGTTTTGTGGTGTTTCTAGTGTAAAATACTTACACAAAGCGGACATGTTTAGATGAAAAGTTGGTTAGCTGTTAGCCACAGTGCACATTGTAGCTGGCTGCAAACTGTGAAATGGATTTCCTGAATGAGAGGAGGGTCTTATTACTCTGGGTTCATGAGACATGACTCCGTTCAGGAAATCCATTCCATAGTTTGAAGCCAACGTGCAGCGCAGCTGGCAGGGAATCACGCGAGGAGACGTTTTACCTGGAGACACAGAGACATGCATCATGGATCGGAAATCTCTGCAGGTTGGACCGGAAAAATCCGATACGTAAATAATGCTGGTATCGGAGTCCGTTACCGGATCGGCCCCATCCCTAGTTCTAAACAGCTCAAAGTGTTTGAAGGATAAGACGAGAGCTCAGTTAATTTTCAATGAGGAAAAAAAAAAGTTAAGTATTTCAAAAATTAAAAACTGCACAAATAGCTAAAGTCATAGCAGGAATGTCATGTATGAGCTGAACGTTTTGATGTATGAATCGTTGAAACAGCAGAAAAAGTGAAGACGACGTCAGATGCTGAAAAACGTACGGAAGAAAACAGATCTATATTTGTCTACAGACTGAATCACGATAGTTTTTGACAAACTACGTGGTTTCAGCACATCTTCAGACTCCTCCGTCCGGACTCAGATGTTGAGACTTCAGAACTGACCTTTGAGACACTTTAAACATTTTAAGTTCAAACATAAACTGGTTTAGAAATCTAATAGTTAGCATGAATGCTATATTTCGACGATAAATGTTAATATTTAGGCAAATATCAGTAAGAATTAGGGTTGAGTGGTATTATGGTTAAACTCAGGTACAAAAAAAAAACAATGAACTGATTGAAGTTTCTGGTGAACTCACAGTTCTCACAGTCGCTCAGATCTCCAAACACGTAGTAGCACTGTTCGGAGAAGGTGATCTTGTTGACGGTGTGCCGAATGAAGCCGGCCTTCAAAAGGTTGCTGGCGTACTTCCTGGCCTCTCGGCGGTCCTGGAAGCCCTCGATGTGGTGGAACAGCCACTCGACAACATCCGAGCCTGAAAACGAGTGCAAACGAGAACAGGAAAGATCAGCCGAACTTTAGTTTTGTACAAAACGTATCATCGGGTATACCGCTCTTATTTTACTTCAAAGTTCAAGAGAATAAAATGTCAATAAAGAGGAGTTAGGAACAGGAAATGAGACTTGGTTGTTTTGGTCAACCCTCATAATATCAAAATGTCACCTCAAGAGTATCTGTTGGGAATGACTCCCAGCTACTACGACACCAAATTTTAGCCCTGATCTGTAAAATTGACAGAGTTAGGGCCATTTCTAGTGACTAACGTTGATCGGCTGTGGAGTCCATCCTGGATTGGATTAACTTCAAAAGGAATTAAGTTTTAGATTACATTTAGAATTTTATTTACCTAATCTGTCAGCACTCAGGGTACGTAATGGGCATCAGTTTCAGCTACTACCACACAAAACTTTAGCTCCGTTTCTGTAAAATTGACTGAGTTAGGGCCAGGTTGAGGTTTTAAAGGTCAATCAATGGTGGCAGCCATGTTTTTATTTGACCTTTATACTAGATGAGGTTGAACCTGTTCTCATTTACAAACATGACCTGGTCAAGGAATTCCAGCAAGAAATAGGTACATTAAAACATTTCATCAATACTATGTACAGAATAATACATTAAAAAAGTACTTAAAAAATGTATAAAGATAAAAATGTACATGGGTACACTGAAGAGGCACGTCTAAAAAATAAAAAAAAATAAAAAAGTATGTTTGTAAAAGAATGATTAAATAAGCCCAAAAAACATCCAAAACCAATCAAAAGAGCAGCAGTCAGAAATAATCTGTTGGAGTTTAAGACTCAAACCAGTGAGAGACGTCAAACTGTGAGTGTGAAAGGTTTTATCTGCTGCTGCAACGTTAGAGGACAAAGAGTCAACGTTCCTGGAACAATGAATCAATAAATACAAGATATTCTTGTTTTGGTACAAAAATCATGATGGTCGGTTTGACTCCAGACATTAATCAGTTGGAGAAGTGCATTCATCGTGGGTGGGGGGGTGGGGGGGTGGAGATGGAGAAAGTGAGAAGTGAGAGGGAGAGACTCGGACAGACAGGGCAAAAATGTCATACTCTAGATATGGCATTGGGCAACAATCTTTTGTTAATAATATTAACAACAACAACAACAACAACAACAACAACAACAACAACAACAACAACAACAACAACAACAACAGCAACAGCAGCAGCAATAATAATAATAATAATAATAATAATGTGCTATGTATTGTCATAATTGTGTGTTTCCATAAAATGGCGAAATTGGATCTGTGCATTGAACCCATCCACCACCAGGTGGAGCAGTGGGCAGCTGTGGAAAGCACCCGAGGAGCAACTGGGGATAATGTGTCCTGCTCAGAGACACCACGAGACATGCAATGACCGGGGATCGAACACAGAACCTCCGGGACCCGAGTCGGCTGCCCTTGCCTCCACACCATCTCAGCCCAACAGAACCTGAACCTGTTGGACCACGCTGCTGTTGGACCACGCTGCTATTGGACCATGTTGCTGTTGGACCACGCTGCTGTTGGACCACGCTGCTGTTGGACCACGCTGCTGTTGGACCATGCTGCTATTGGACCATGTTGCTGTTGGACCACGCTGCTGTTGGGACCACGCTGCTGTTGGACCATGCTGCTATTGGACCATGCTCCTGTTGGACCACGCTCCTGTTGGACCACGCTGCTGTTGGACCATGCTGCTGTTGGACCATGCTGTTTTTAGACAATGCTGCTGTAAGACCATGCTTATGTTGGACCATGCTCCTATTGAACCATGCTCCTGTTGGACCATGCTGTTGTTGAACCATGTTGCTGTTGGACCATGCTGCTGTTGGACCATGCTGCTGTTGGACCATGCTGCTGTTGGACCATGCTCCTGTTGGACCATGCTGCTGTTGGACCATGCTCCTGTTGGACCATGCTGTTGTTGGACCATGCTGCTGTTGGACCATGCTGCTGTTGGACCATGCTCCTGTTGGACCATGCT